CCAACTCACAACTAACGTTGCCTCAGTGTATTTTGTACTGAGGCTGAGAAAACCCGGCAATCAGACAACCCAGCAAGCCGTTGGCAACAATGGGAAGGAAAAACAGCCTTTTAACAGGAAGAAAGCTCTGGCAGGAGAGGGCAGCTATCTTTTAGCACTTATCTTATAAAGTCACACCAAACATACAAAAGACTAAATATGACAAGTCTTACTAACACTCTGTTTTAAAGAAATACTTAAATATCAAGTTTATCTAATTACACTCAGCAGCATAGTTTGTGACCCAAACATTTTATCAGTAGTCTATCCAAAGAAGTCTATGTTTAAAGGATTTTCTGTTTGACATATAAGTTTTTCATACTCATCACATAGATAATTAAAAAGATCTATAATTTGGTTTTTTAAAGAGGATGGTATGGAGGAGGTATGGAGAACTAGAAAACGACTGTCTGACCTGAAACTTTCTGAACAAGCGAGCCATCACGAGGCATCACTGTCACTGCCGTCCTTTTGTCCAGGACCGAGCAGAAGGAGCCCATTGTCAGAAGTAACCACAGAAGCAGCAGGAGGAGGGAGGAGGCTCCAAACACACGGATGCTGTGTATATATTTTTACCTGTTGTAGATACATCTGCCTTTTGCTTTCATCCACATGCTGCTCAGTGTTGCTCTGTAGTTCTTCCCAGATGTTGTTAAGCTCACTGACTCTCTCAGGGGAGTGGAGATCGTTTACCCTTTCAAGCAAGTGGGTCCTTGGTGTGTGTGTGTGCTTATGTGTGCATGTTTTTGTATTACTCAAGCTCTGGGGGTATAAATCTGTATACACAGTGACATGCTGGCGTCAGGTCAGGGCAAGCAAGGCAAGCAATACTTGTCTAATGAAATCTAAAAATAAACATCGTTTAAGACATAAAATGAAACCAATCCCTCTCCTTTCATCTAAAACTGTGTTCTGTCATAAAAATTCTTAAAACTTCTTGAAGCCACTGAAAGCTGCATGTCATTGATTTGTCATTGTAACAAATTAGTTGCCTCTTACTTTATATCTTGGCCAACATGTATGACGTTGCGGAGTTAAGGGCTTTACACACAGGTCATGAAATAATACTTCAGACTCATATATTCTCTATGCAGCCATTCACAGTGACAATGTGAATTCACTCTACAAATTTGAGGCATTTTTTTTTCTGAACCAAGTTCCATTTTCCAACTTCGGACAAATAAGACCACTGCATTTGGCAAAAAGTGCTTCTGTAGCTCAAAATACTCACCAGTGCTGAATATACAAATATACAAAATTCTCAGATGTTGTTCCCAAAGAATATACCCCAGTGACAACCTGAAATATGTATGAAGGTAGCTTCAACTCCTGGATTAAACCATGAAATTCTTCTTGTTACAATCGGTTGGTGCAGACTGCACTTGGTCAATAATGGCTATTAGAGTCCAGTGTAAACAAGGTTTTGTGGTTTGGGAAACTAGGGAAACGCTTATTGACTGAGCAGATGTCACCTTGCATTTTGTTTTTATTGGCATCCTAAATATTTTAGAATTGAGTGCAAGGGACAACAGCTCCTTTGTGCACAGAATACTCCTATTCCACATGTTGTGTCTGGTAACAAAACCTTTGAAACATTGAAGGATGCTCCACACCTGAAGTATCCACATAAGATCAAAGACAATTTTAGACAACTTTTGCAATTAGACCACCTAAATGTTGACAGAAGTGGACTCACTGGTGGATTTTTCTCGATTTTCCACAGGTTGACGTTCAGAAATGCTGGGTGAAACTGACATTGTTTTGAGTTTCTTGTCATTTGCTGCCCTCTGCACTTTTATACACAACCTTCATTCTTGCTCTTTAACAATCCAAATTGTGAACACATGCAAAATAAATTTATTTAAATCTATCTCAACAGTATAGTGATAGTTGTTATTCCTTAGATAGATAGATAATACAG